CCCCCCCCCCATGGTATCATCCCCCCCACGGCATCCCCTGCCTGTTAACCCTAAAAACACCACGGACCACGGGGGAGGACAGAGCCCTGAACCCTAAGCCCTAAAACCTAAACCCACCAATGAACGACAGGAGGGAGAAGGGTAAACCCGAAACCTTAGCCGCTTTAACCCAACCCTGAAGCGTAAACTCAGCACGAACCACAGGGGGAGAGGGGAAACCGTAAACCTACCATTACCCCAAACCTTGAACCCTGATTAAACTCTAAACCCACAATGAACCAATGGACCAGAGTGAAAATCCTGAACTCTACAGCCTCACCCTAAACCCCTAAACCGCAAACCCATGAACCACGGACCATGAACCACAGGGGGGGTGGGGGGGCAGGGGACCCCAAAACCCACCATGAACCCGCGAGAGGGGGGGATACCATGGGGGGGGGAGGGGGGGGGGTGCGCCTATGCTGGCGCATATAGGCCTACAGGCCAGAGAGGTTCTTAAAGGCTAGAGACCCCCAAAATGACCCTATCTGGGCCAGATAGGATTTGGTTTGAAATCAGAAAGCCCCAAAATGACCCCTTCGCAGGTTGGAAACCCGAAGATCTATTTTTAAGATCCTTTCAGGGGTCTGGGGAGAATTATAGTTCTAATACTTAAACTCCAGTTGTAAGTACCCATGAACCTCTAAGTGGCCTGCGCCTTTTTGCGCAATAACACTTGCGCAATCATCCGGTGAAACTTCATCCGGCGCATACAATTGAAACAAATCTATTCTGAAACCCGTGTAGGTAAGCTCATGCAGGTATGCATCAGAAGCCTCTGTGCTATTCTTGGGCGCAGCCTAATCGCAATTGACTCAGCTTGTAGTCCCCAACCCTAAACCCCAAACTCCTTGTTGCGGCCCTCACTCGCCAGAGTTCTGTCGTACCTGAGCGACTCTTCGATTCCCATAATTTCAAGGATCCAGTAGAGAATTGTGGAACTATGGTTCCTATATATCGTCCTTGAATGAAGGGCTAGAAAGGGGGTATATAAGGCACCCGATTCCCAGTTCCCCCAGGATTGGGGTCTGATGTCCCAGAATGCAGGCACCACGCCCATGCGAAGCTGCCGCGCTGTGGGTGTGGCCACACTCCTTCCCTTGCCGTCAACCGCATCGCCAAATGGGAGTTTACGAAGTAAGGGACAGTAAGGGAATCTTGAGAAAACCACCAAATAGTGGAATGCCCTTATAATAAGGACCCAAATAAGGTCGCCCTAATTTCAAATAACACCCAGACTATTCACGCGTTCTGAATGCAACGTTTGGAAAGTCGCTGCAGCAATCTGTCTGACCGTTGGCATCTATTGTCCATGCACATGGGACCTAAGCCCTAAGTCCTCTCACATGGGGGTTTCCGAAAATAAGGGTACCTTTTTGGGGTCCCTATTTTCAGGGAATCCTGCCATTTAGGGGTCTTCTTAGGACTCTCTTGTTTTCGTAAACCCCCACGTCGCGAACTGGTCCCCATGGGCTCACCGGCCTCATCGTCATGCGGATGTCCGGGACTTGCTCGACGGCGGCCGCAACTTGCACTGGCGCGGGCCCCCTTGAAACATGTTGAAGCTGCGCGCAGGTCACATCGCCGCACATGTAGTTGAAGCTCGGCTGTCAGGCGCGCTCGGCAGTGTGGGCAGTGCTCGCTGTTCCGCTGTATCAGATCTGGTGCGGCGCACTCCGCTGTTTGCTACAGTGGATTGAGCACTTATGGAAGGCAGCTGCTGCACACTTTGCGCCCGTCGAAGCGGTCTCGAAGCCATCTTCTGGCGCAAGGGGTCGAACCACTTGTGCTGCGTGCACTCGCTCGCCCCCAGTCGTTTCGATACGTCCTTGTTCAACATGCCCACCACAAAGCTGGCCAACTCTTCGCTGATGCTGCGCGCGGTCTCGTACAAGGTCGGCAAGATGGGGTTTCCAGAGTCCTCACCGAGCCATCTCAAGAAGTCGTTGTCGCAGCCGGTGTGTCTCCTGAGCTGCAAGTATCTGTCAGTCAGCACTGAAGATAGGAACATCGTCTCGAGCACACAAACCCCGATACTCCATAGGTCCATCGAGGGGGCCAGTACCACAGGGCAATGCTGGGCCTGACCCGGTCCTGCCTTGAGATAGGCTCTGGCCAACTCTGGCGCCATGTAAGGTGGCGTGAAGGTCACGTCCCCGTATCGCACAACAACGCCAGCTCGGACGCAGCAGTCGAGGTCGATCAGCTTCCACTGGCATCTACCAGCCTTTGGAAATTTGACAATGTTCGAGGGCTTGATGTCCAGGTGAACCACGCCGTGCGACTGCAATTGGCAAGCCAAGGACACCAGCGCCCAGTGAAGTTCGCGAAGCTCCGCTAGCGAAAAGTGCCTCGACTCGCGGCACCTCCTGGCCAGCATGTCTTCAAGAGATTCAGACCCAAGTTCCATCACGGTAAACATCACTCCGGTGGAGTCAACCCCAGGGTTGCCGCGGCTGTCCTGAGAATAGCCCAGGATGTCCACTGTCCACCCTGGAAGCCCCAGCCCGGAGCCCATCGGGCGTTTCAACCACGAACTCATCTCGATACTGTTGTGGAAGCAGTGCTGGCACATCCTTTCGGTGCTGTGGTAGATTTTGAGTGCCACTTGCTGACCAAGTCTTTGGTCGGTGCCTTTGAAGACTCGCGCCGCCCGACCCTCGCCCAACACATCGCGGGCTGAGTAGCGATATCTTCCTTGCAACACCATCTCCTTCACCCCCGGCGATGGCTGACCGGGCGCAGCGACAGACGCAGCAGTGCCGCGCTGCATCCGAACGAGATGACATGGCAGTGTTTTTTTGCTGCGGAAGTCGATTCGTTTAGCAGCGCTGTTGGTGACATCTGGCTGAAGCCCCTGTACGCAAGGTAGACAGAACAATGCTCTTGTAAATTCAATATATATATATATATATGTATATATATATATCATAAATAATACTAATAATATATCTATATATATATATGTATGCAGATAGTTGAAGGTGTTTCTGACATCTCTCGGTCCAAAGGCTCACTATAGTCCGACCGAAAGCAGTGAAAAACCAGAGGCATGATTGCATGTTTCCCCTCTTCCCCTTTCCCATCCACTTACTTCCACCCCTCCGCACCCAGGCTAAAGCAGGGACATCCCAACACTTGGGCAGTTATCCCTAGGGGATAGGATTAGGGGGACCCTTGGGGATATAGACCCTCTGAATAAGGTCCCTTGTTAAGAGAGCCAGAAGAGGGTTAAAAGGGGTTCCCTTTTAAGGGTCCCCCTTATCCCACCTAGGAATCCCAGTGCGGTGGGAAAGCCTTGTCTGCCCAAGTTGTCGTCTTCGGCTCTGCTGCCTGGCTGGGAGCCAGGTTTGGGGGGGTTCAGGTCACCACGCTGTGCCCCGGCCCATGGAAACTCACACAAAGTCAACGGGGAAATGCTCCTTCAAAAAGCCACCCAAGTGGCCTAACCCTAACCCTAAACCCTAAACCCTAAACCCTATACCCTAAACCCTAAATCCTAAACCCTAAACTCTAAACCCTAAACCCTAAACCCTAAACCTTGCAGGGCACAACGCACAAGGCACTGGGAGACCGGCCCCCGCTTCGTCCGCTTCATCGAGCAGCTCGGGGGCAGCGGAAGGCTCCTGTTTGCAACCCTAAACCCTAAACCCTAAACCCGAAACCCTAAACCCTAAATCGTGGTTCGTTTCGTCGGTTGAAGACGGAATGCCAGGCCGGCTCCCAGATAGGAAATTTCGGCACTTCGAGGCTACTGGTGAGGGAGTTTTCCAAGAATAGGGGTACCTTCTTGGGGTTCATATCAGGGAATCCTAGTACTTGCTACTCATGAAAGAGTTTCCGATATTATATAGGGGTACCCTCTTGGGGTCCATAAACATGAGGGAATCCTGCTACTTGGGGGGTCAATTCTGGGGTCCCCTGTTCTCGTACATCCCCAACTCTCGGTTCATCCTTTTTCCGTCGGGTTTGGCGTACGGTCCTCTGCTTCGGGAAGCTTCATCTTCGCCTGCCACCTGCAGCCCACATCCGCAACGAAAGCAAGGAGTGGAGTTCTATGGAAGTTAACGGCTACAAGACCTGAACATTCGACTCCTCATATGTACTACTCATACAGATACCGCACATACAATACAATGTAACAATTACTGTACAAAGTGCCCTGAAGTCGCAAATGCCAGAGCTCCACGCACGGCAATGTCGCGAGACCACCATCCACGTGAGTAACACCGAAAGAACACAAAGCCCGAAAAGCGAAAAGTCAGGCCCTCATGGTCGCCAAGCACAACTCAACAACACACACACACACACACACACACACACACACACACACCCTGGGTGTAGGCAAGCGTTCGGCTGGACTGCAGCTAGCACCATACCCCCAGAGACTACTCATGAAGCCTGCTCGTCCCCACTGCTGGGGGGGGGAAGGTTCATCGTACTCCAAGGTGTGCCAGTAAGCAATTCAACAGTGCAAGAAGCAATAGGGGGGGTTGACGATAACAAGGGACCCCTAATCTACACCCCAAATGGTAGGATCCCCCTTAGAATAGGACCCCAATCAGAGACCCCTAATATGGCAAACCCCCAGATCAGCCACTGTTCAGCCTCTGCGTAGCAGATCCTTTGGCTGCCTGGCACGAATCTCCGGAACAAATCAGGGTTTAGGGTTTTGGGGTTATGGTTTAGGGTTTAGGGTTTAGGGTTTAGGGTTTAGGGTTTAGGGTTTAGGGTTTAGGGTTTAGGGTTTAGGGTCTAGGGTTTAGGGTTTAGGGTTTCGGGTTTTGGGTTTTGGGTTTAGGGTTTCGGGTTTAGGGTTTCGGGTTTCGGGTTTCGGGTTTAGGGTTTGGGGTTTAGGGTTTAGGGTTTAGGGTTTAGGGTTTAGGGTTTAGGGTTTAGGGTTTAGGGTTTAGGGTTTAGGGTTTAGGGTTTAGGGTTTTATGTTGTGACATTGATTTGGTGTTGCATGTCGGGAATGACTTTACATTCTTTCTGCAAAACAAGTCAAGCGTGATCATTTTTTGATTTGCTGGATGTTGAATCTGCGATTTGCGCGTGATCTGTTTGGATCTGGCCACATTGCGATGCCAATTGGGTCTCTTGAATCCGCGATTTGTTTGTGAAAATTGTGTGATTCTGTTTGTGGTGATTCTGTGACTGGAGGCTATCGAATCTGTGGTTCTTCTGTGAGAATTCTGTGCTTGGCATCCGTGGAATCTGTCCTTGTGTCCAGTTGCTTCTGTGTCCTCCCCATCGCGCAACGCGAGTTGTTGGAGAATGTGGGGGCCGAATGCCTGAGTTTCCTAGGTTTCATTGTCTGCTGACTCTGCCGCCTCTACGGACATGTGTAGGAAAGTCAATATTCTCACCCGAGATGTACGGCCGGGCACGCCCTTCGCCAGGTTTGGGTAAGGAAAACAACGCATGATCTTTCAGTTGGCGGCTGTCCGGGGAATTCGACAGACAGAGCCAGCTCTGATTCGCGGTTCGTTTAAAAAAGGGCAGATAGAATCTGTTTTTTTGAACTCTGGCATCTTCACCTTGGAGGACGTGTGTTGCACCAATCTGCGTGTGTATTCTGCATGTGGTCAGTCGAGTGACATGGCCATGGAAAGGGTTGGAAGGCAACCACTTCGCTAAACCTGGCTTGCGCAGAGTGCACAAGGCAACTTTTCTGTGAAGAGTGCCCTAAACCCTAAACCCTAAACCCTAAACCCTAAACCCTAAAGCATCCCTAAACCCTAAACCCCCACCTTTTCTGCCCAGCTGGGCTTTCGCTTGGCTTTTGTCTCGTCATCGTCGGTGGCACCTGCCACTCTGATATATGAGTATGTAGGTATAGGTGTAGGTGCATATGCATGTGTATGTGCGGATGACATGCAAAATCATGATGATAATTTAATAATACTACTATCACTAATAACAATACTACTAACAATAATCATACGAAGAAAAATAATCGCAGTAATAATAATGAGCATATTAATAAATAAGAATAATAATACGAAGAATAGAAATAGTAGTATTGCCATTGTTATTATGATTTTTATTATATACAGATATATATGCATATATACATACTTTCATGTATACATATATATATATATATGTATATATGCGTAGATCGTATACATATGCGTATAAATATGTCTATGTGGCATGATATGTGCACAGCAAATCAAGTCATATCATATCATATCATAGCATACCATGTCATATCATGTCATATCATGTCACAGGATACATGATATATGATATATGATATATGACATATGATGTATGATATATGATATATGATATATGATATATGATATATGATATGTGCTATTGGATATTTGATACTTGGTATATGATATATGATATATGATATATGATATATGATATATGATACATGATATATGATATGTGCTATTTGATATATATTATATGATCTATGATGTATGATATGTCATTTTTCACATGTCAGATATATATATATATATATATATATATATATATATATATAGGTATAGATATAGATATAGATATAGAGATAGATATATGTATGTGTATTTGTATATACAGGCCTGAGCTGGTCTTTGCAACCTCGGGTGCCCCAAAAACTCGGATCATGGTCATGGGGGGATTCCTTCCGATTTGCTAGGGCCAGGGCCCACTGCATCTTGCGACCATGCCTGCCATGCCACTCTTTAGGTTTTCGGGTTTAGGCGGCTTAGGGTTTCCGGTGTGGGAGTTTGGGGTTTCGCGTTTAGGGGTTTGGGTTTAGGGTTTGGGGTTTGGGGCTCAGGGTCTGGGATTGGTCTTTAGCATCCCTACTCAATACCAGCATCTCAACTCCAGCTCCAATCAGCAGGCAGAGCCAGTCGTCTCCATGGTTCCAGCGCTCTGACCACCACCTGAGCAAATCCACAACTGACGGCTTCTCCTGTTTTCTAAGCTGAAGAGCTCTCAGGAGCATGCCCGCCCTGCGTGTTGTCCTGCCAGCTGCTCCACTCCCAGTCATCGGGCTGTGGCTCCTGGAGCGCAAGCATGCTGCTAGCTGCTGCAGTAGCTACTTTGCCATCACTTGCCTACCAAGTTCTGCACTGACAATGACCTGAACAGCCCTGCCTGCGTTGTGCTTTCAGGCTGCTGATCGACGCTCCTGGCACAACGCACAAGACAAGACACATGACACGATGCTTCTGATAAGGCACATTGCGCGACCGCTACCTCGAACGTGATGTTCGACTGCCACGTTCCTGCTTCATCCGCTCAGGCAGCAAAGGGGGAAAGCAGCAATCACATGCTATGAGGGTACATGCTGGACAAACAACAACCTTTCTATGGCCAAGCATATTCATCTCATGTGCTGTCACTCGACCAACTCAGATACCGCAACTTTACCGTACAACTCTGATCTTGCACTAAACCCTGAACCCTGAACCCTAAACCCTAAACCCTAAACCCTGAACCCTGAACCCTGAACCCTGGACCTTAAACTGCTTCACATTTAACCAAGATCCTTCCGGCCGCGGCCGCGGGGTGCTCCATCGAGGTCGCTGTCCTCTCCCGTCCTGAAATGGGAATGCGCCAGCTTCCCCCCCTAAACCCTGAGTCCTATAAACTATCCTGGACGATCCTAAGCTGCGTTGAAGCCCCTAACATGAGTTAAGGGGATCCTTTTGGATGAAGCTTTTGCAACAACGTTCATATGGTCTACTGGTCTGATTCTGAAGGAGGTGTGCAGCGGAGATACGCGGAGATCATTGTGGCTGGTTTGGTTGGGGTATGATAATGATCAGGTTGTTTGTCGCGGAGGACTGCGGGGCATGCGCGGATGCGGGAGGCTGAGGTGCTACCATGCTAGGTTGGACACACCAAAGTCACCAAACGCTTGAAGACTCCAGGAGCGTCCTGCGGCTTTCAGAGCCAAGGAAGCTGTCGACAGGAGTTGGCAATGGTGCCCAATCCTCAAGCGAGACGAGCAACCACTCAAACACACTCAGGCACACTCAAGCGATGCGTTTTCCATCGCCGGGTTCCTTAAGGTCAATGACCAGTGCATTCTATGAGCCTGAGGGCAATTGTTAAGGAAGCAGGCCTTGTTCGGCGTGTCGCTGAAAAGCAGCAAGTCCGGGAACTTGGCTTCTATCCTGTAGCAGCAAACGGCTGCCCAGCAAGCCATGCGGGAGCCGATCTGCCCACGCCACAACCCTAAACCCTAAACCCTGAACCCTAAACCCTAAACCCTAAACCCTAAACCCTAAACCCTAAACCCTAAACCACCATTTGGGGAGCCGGCTTCTTGTAACTTTCAGGCTTCTCGACGACTTCCATCTTGCTGCAAACCTGCACGCAGGAGGCCTAGATACAATCCCTGCAACAGCACGGGATTCGCAAAGCGCAGTAGCAGTTCCCATTTTCAACACCGGCCTCTACGATTTGCTGCCTGCTATACCGACGGAAGTCATGCTGGTACCTGGCTGCTGTCTGAGAGCTCATGTGCCCCTTGCCAGAAGTCAAGCTCTTGCTGGCAAGCGCCCAAGTTCATTCACCAAGTGAGTTTCCTCGTCATTCTGCTACCCTAAACCCTATCCCCTAAACCCTAGACCCTAAACCCTAAACCCTAAACCTACCGGTAGCACTTCAAACGAAACCCGCCATGAATCTCTGCAGGACGGTTGGCCATGGAAGCCGGTTCGAGTCGGCAATCGCAAGTCGAACACGGGGATGTCTCAGACATCACAGCCTCAAACACTAAGACCCTAAACCTAAAACCCCCAAACCCCAAAACCCTATACTACAGTTTTAAGACCTCAAAACCCTAAACTACAGTTTTAGACCCTAAAACCCACAAACCCCAAAACCCTCTACTACAGTTTGGGCATGATAAGGCGCACCCAAGGCTGTCATCATCGAAGTCAGCGGCCTGGGCACAGGCCGAGAATTGAGCAAGCCTACTTGGAGGTTCATGGTGCTTATTAGCCAACTATAACTGTTCTTATAGCTGTACTTATAACCCTATGAGGGGGCTTATAAGTGGGTTATAAGATGTTATTAGGTACAGTTGCAACTGGTTATTAAGTACCATGAACCTCCACGTGGTAGTGCGCATCCTCTGCGCTTGGGGGTTCCGTGCCTTGCCCATGTCGCTTTGCACGGCCTGTAGGATGCAAAGGCTGGAAAGGGCTCTGGACAAACCCCCCCCCTCCCATCGTAAATTATCACTCTCTGGCAGGCCATGCTTCTTTACAGCGCAAGTGGAGGAAAGAGCGGCCTGAAAATCCGCTTCGCCTTTGCTCATGGAGCCTAGGTTTCCAGGATTTTGGTGACATGGCCTCGGACGGTGTGCGTCCGAGGCATCATTGGGGAGCACAAACCATCTTCGGTCTTCATCTGACACAAGCCTGGATTTCTTCCGCCACACCCACTAAAGGATGCCACCTGTCCCGACATTGCCCTTCCATAACTTCGTAACTTTCGTGGAGAACAGTCATCTCGGAGACATGAGATTCACTCTCACGTAAGTCCTGGGCGAAACTTCCCTTCAGGCTTGCCTTTGCCTGCATGTCAGAGAGAGTGTTGGTCCGTGGCACATTGCTGGGGATTGAATCATGCATTGCCAAGTGACCGCCCCAAAGGCGCCTCCCTCCCTCCCTCCCTCGCTCGCTCTCTCTCTCTCTCTCTCTCTCTCTCTCTCTCTCTCTTCCTTCCTTCCAGTGCACGTAGCCCCCCGGAGGCGGCTGCGCCAAGGAGCGTGCTCCACAGGATCTCGTGTGACGCTGGTGCTGTGTGGAGGGGCTCTCACCACTATTGCCCTCATACCTATCAATAGAAGCAGGTACCACCCTACGCCCCGTCGCCCACTCGAAAACCGAGGCCCCCCCCCCCCCTAGTGACATACGTGTTTTAGGTAACAAAGTTACGTAAGATCACATGTTTGTGGTGGGTATGTGGGCAGGTATGCCAGGCTGTCGCGGTTAGGGGCCACATGGAAACGACCTTCCTTCCTTCCTTCCAAGAAACGACCTCTCTCTCTCTCTCTCTCTCGCGCTCTCTCGCTCTCCCCTTCCCTATCAGCAGAAAACTTGGCCTTTTCCCTTCTCGAAGCCTTTGTCAAAGCCCGTGTCAAAGCCCATGTCGAAGCCCTGCAATGGGACTGCATTGTTGCAGGCCTTCATATTGACTTTCTCTCCCTGCACAACGTGCAAAAGTCGCTGGGGCACCCTGGCCTTGCCAGGGGGTCCTTTGCCACCTTTGCTCATGTTGCTCTTGTCGGAGCCTTTCTCAGCGCCTTTCATTGGGCCTGGACAGCAGACCCGGCTGATTTCGATGGTGTTCGTCTACCCTGGCAATCAAGAAAAAAACAAAAAACACAGCCTTTGCCCTTGAAGCCGTCCTTTCCTTTGCCCTTTCCATCCTGCCAAACAGAACGAGGCACCTCTACTCTGTCCTGAATGCCGATAGGGGTTCCGATACATCCCAAGGTGTCTGCTGTCGTCAGGGCTGGTGCAATGTCCTTGCTAGTGCCGTTAGGTTGCCAGCCAGGGGGCGACAGCACTGCCACATCTTCCGCTGTGTTGAGGCTCTGGCACTAGAGCGAGGGTTTGTGGATGGTTGTGTCATCTTCCGCCATGCCGTATTCTTGCAGCTTCAGTGCTTTCAGGATCTTCCGTGCCTAATACAGAAGCCTTAAAAGGTTTAGTATAGTATAATTATGAAGGGGCCCTCAGGGAATACTACTACCAGTAGTAATTATTTCGACCCCTGTAATACCTGGAGAAAGGGTCTCAGGCTAAAACCCTAAACCCTAAACCCTAAACCCTAAACCCTAAACCCTAAACCCTAAACCCTAAGGGCTCCTTGCCCTCATCAGGTGACGGAGCCATCCAGGGTGGCCCCTGCCCGGAAGCCTGGGGTGTGGCTCGGAGGAAAGTCGGATTTGGGCTTTGGGGTTTAAGGTCCAGGGTTTAGGGTTTAGGGTTTAGGGTTTGGGGTTTAGGGCTTAGGGTTTAGAGTTTAGGGTTTAGGTTTAGGGTTTAGGGCTGAGGGCCACCCCAATTCGGTACAAGCATTGCCAGCACTGGGCACCACGACCCAGCCGCCAGGAGCATTTGCGCGCCACACCTGCAAAGCATGTCGATAAAGCCAGGCAGCAGAGGCTCGTACGCAAGGCATGCGTAAGCTTTAGCCCAAGTCTTTCAACATCCCCTGGCACTCATCCTGGCTCACAGGTGATTCCTAAGGCGAAACCTTGAGGCAGCATCTCGTGAATCTTGTGCCTTGTGAGAAATTTTCGCTCTGTGGCAGCCCTCTGTATCGCCTTATCGCTTGGGATGTTCTCCTGAAACTCACAGTCCTTAATGGGGACTATAAAGGGGGGGTACTATATGTACTATGGTCCCTATTCAGGACTGTTAGTATCAGGGGGAACATACTTATCGCTGTGGCCTGGTAGTTCATGGCGGCAGCCCAGGGAGGGACACCTCGAAAAAAGGGCAGCGGAAATGACAAAAGCAGAACTTGGCGAGTTCTCTAAATTAGGGGGCCCTTTTTGGGATCCTTTTTTAAAAGGGTGCCGTATTATGTTGGGGACCCCCCAAACAAGGGACCCAAATTTAGAGAACTGCCCATGTATGTGGCGCTTAAGATGGCGCAGAAGTGGGAGCAGATGCGACAGCCATGGGGCCACGGGGCCATGACCATGCGCCGGAAATCCCGGCATGGGCTGCATCGGAAAGAAGCTGCGTAGGAACTGCTCCGACCTCGTCGAGATGCTCCAGGTTTTAGGGTTTAGGGTTTAGGGTTTAGGGTTTAGGGTTTAGGGTTTAGGGTTTAGGGTGCTCCACAGTGCATGCCGTATGGACGAGGTCCTGGCTTGATGGAGCACTTGACGCTGTTCCCACGGAGTTTCTGCGATCTGCACAAGCAAAGGACAGTCACAAAGATCTGGTGACTGCATAGCAACTGTAAAGCTATGTACGCAGAAGGCGGCAGAAAAAATAATTCACTGTCCACCCAAACTGCGATCTTTGATCGACACACTGCTGCAGCACCGCTCTGACAAGCAATCGTCGCTGCAACTAACGCAGGAAAGTTGCCACGCGACCTGAGCCACAAAGCTGCATCTGTCGCAGCCGTGTCGGTTTTGAAGGCGACGAAAGCCTCGGGCAGCTGCCAGCTGCACCCTGCAGAGTTTAGGGTTTAGGGTTTAGGGTTTAGGTTTTAGGGTTTAGATTTTAGGGTTTGGGGTTTAGGGTTTATACCACATCACGGGCATGACTTATCATGACTTGCTGAGGTTCTCAGAGCCGGACCGTGTTGTTAACATCAGGCTTGATCGACACCAGGGACTCCGCAGCGGGGCACTTGTCAAATAAGTCGTGCAACTCCTGGCTTCGGGGTCTTCGTGGGGCTTCACAGGTCGGAAGCCGAACCGTGAAAGACAGTGCAATGCACACGTCGGGCACGGGCTCAATGGAGACTTTAAACTCACGGCCGCCCGCGCGCGACCTCGTCCCTCTACATTGCTCAAAACAGTTGGCCATGGTGACGGTTCTGTACAGGTCATTTCCCAATCTGCCGGCTGTACACGTAGCACAATCTGGCTGTCTCTGCCGGGTGGTGCTCAAAACTGTAAGGCTGGCAGCAGAGCCTCTTGAGCTGAGCATGGCAGCCTGCTGTCTGGACAATGCAGTTCAAGTGCGCTGGCGGGTTTAGGGTTTATGGTTTAGGGTTTAGGGTTTAGGGTTTGGGTGTTCAGGCCACCCCACTCACTTCGACGGTGTGGCATCTGTCAGGCAAGAACCCATAGCTAAGCCGTGAATCTCCATCTTGATTTGGCGAAGGGCCTGCCACGTAGCAACCATTCAGCTCAACGACAACTGAGAACGGAAAACCACGGAGAACTCCCATCACCCCCCCAGGGAAAAAAATCCAAGATCTGAAGGTAGAGTCACATGGGGTGGTTGTCAAAATCCGCCGAGGCCTCGGGCCGAAGGTGTATAGGTTGTGAGAACAGGCACCCTTTATTTTCGACCTTTCTTTTGGGTACCCCCCCCTAGGAAACCGGGGTCCGCAAGCGGACGGTTCGCCAGGACCAGAGGCAGTTGAAGCCCGTCCCAGCAGAACCCCCCCCCTACCCCCCCCCCCCCCCCCCCCCCCCCCCCCCCCCCCCCCCCCCCCCTGCCCCGCCCCCCCCCCCCCGCAGCGACTCGAGCGCTGCGGAATCACCACGCTCACTGGGCCGGGCCGAGGCGGGTCGCGTAGCGTTAAAATTACGGTCCTTTTTTGGATCCTTATTATAATACGGCACCTAATATTTATGGGACCCCCCAAAAGGGATCATAATCACCCTAAACCCTAAACCCTAAACCCTAAACCCTAAGACTTATGGGACCCCAAAAGGGATCATAATCAGCCACCCACGTCACAAATCAGCCTCGGGAGCTTCGCGGGCTGCGTCTTGAACAGCGGCCAAGAGCTCTGCATCCACTTCCTGTGTGTCGGGCTGAGTTTGAACTCCCTAAACCCTAAACCCTAAACCCTAAACCAGAAGTGCAACTTCCCATGCCAAGCGCACACTTGCTTATACAGGGACGTAGAGACACAGGAACAGTGTCTGAAGCCTCACCAGTGAGTCGCAAGCCGTTCAGTCGGAGACGAAGCTTTCGCACCAAGTGAATGCACGCAAGAGAAGTGCCGCAGCTGCTGAAACACTGTTGTGTAAGCTGCTCTGCAAAACAGCAAGAGACGTGTGCAGCATAATACCTATTGCTGGTTGTAGCATGCTTTGCTCATGGAACTGAATACTAACCAAGCGTCTCGTCGTTCCGGTGGCCTCGCAGGACAAGGTTGAAATCGTCATTCAGTCATCATCTTTGCAGTGGCAATGGAAAGGAGGCCTGTATGAAATGCCGATGGCTGCGAAAATTGCCCTCTCCTTACGTGCATTCATGCTGATGCGAACAACAACGTCTTGCAGGCCGTGTTGCATTTGCAGTTCACATGCCATGCTTTGGGCGGGACAATTGCCAAACGGAGGCATTTGGCCCGTTGAGTGCATCTGGAAGCAAGCAAGCTTCGTCGGCACAATCGATTTTGGCACCAGCGCGGCAGATCTCGCCCACCTGTTCCAAGAATTTGCACGCAAAACCCCCTAAACCCCTAAACCCTAAACCCTAAACCCGAAACCCTAAACCCTCTCAGATTGAGGCCCTGAGCCGCAGGGAGCGGTCCAGCCTGGCGACCACGAGCTCCTTCTCGATCGGCCTTGCAATCACGCTGCGACTTCGGACCGCCGAAGTTTCGCAGCCGCTCTTTCTAAACAAGCCTTCACCTACTGGCACGGCCTTGCCTTGCACATGTAAGTGTGCGAGAGGTGCAGGCCACGAAGGGCGGCGATGCGTTTCATCTCCCTGCAAGACCAAAGCTCGAGAGTGCCCGTGAAACATCCACCGTCTTCGCAACAACCACATGACTGGCCTGTTGAAAAGGCCACCATCACCTTGGCCGCAGCGGCAGATTGCTCACATGCCTTGAAAGATAAGGGTTTTGTAAATTTCTCTTTCAGACAAGTTCGTTGTTTTGACGGTTGAGGTTGAGGAGTGGTCTTGATGCATGTTACAAAAACATGAAGGCGTGTGCCAGCACAAACAACTCTGTGCAGTATGTTGTGAGAAAAAGCAAATATGCTGTAAATACCCAGTGGATTGGGCATTTTCACGACAGTGCCGGATGCTCGTAACAACACATGTTATTCCAGACACGTCCAACATCCTGCCGAAGTATGGTTGCCACGAGGAAAAAAGCTGTAAGTACCAGTGGTTTGGGCATGTTCACAAAAGACACGAACGTTTATGACAGTCCGTCCTGCCCCAGAAACGACAACACATCCTTTTTGCCTTATGTTGTGCAAGGAGGCAAGAACGATGTAATTACCAGTGCGTTTGGGCATTGTCGCCGAACGGACGTCCTCATCCCTTCAGCTGAGAAGCTTCCTGTCCACTGCAAAGTGATGAAGGGCAGCGCCGCGCGGCGGCAAAACACGAAGTCACACCTCCTGCCATGCATGCGTGTCGAGTCCGCAACATGCATGTCCGGAATATATGGGCTCCCAGAAATTCTGGGAGCTGGAACTGCAACACTGATCTTCGGTCTAGTGAACACAAGAGCTTGCTGACAACTCCAGACCAACTATACACTTGGGGCGTTCCGGAATTTAGGGTACCTTATTGGGGTCCTTCTTATCTATTTTCGTAAACCCCCACTTCCAGCCCCGCCTGTACCTCATGGGCTCACCCTCGATCGGACAGCCCCGCACCACGCAAAGGCATGCCTTGAGAGGATTGGGCTGCCCAAGTCCATGCTACAATGGGGCCTACGATATGACGGGTACCTTGTTGGGGTCCTTGTTGTAAGGGAGTCCTACTATTTGGGGATGGATATATATATATATATATATATATATATATATATCTATACATATGTGTATATATATATATATATATATCTATATCGGGCATGTACCTGCATTCTTGCGAAATAGATATGCTTCCTGGAGCAGGTAAGCCAGTTACTTGTGTCGGGAGCGGGGAGACCGGGTGGCAAATCGGGCTGCCCTCTTGGTCCACTTGACCTGCCCCACTTGCAACACTTGCCCCTAGGAGTGGGGGGCAAGTGGCAAGTGGAGCAAGTGGGGCAAGTGAGGGAAGGGCGCAAGTGGGGTGCAGTGGGGGCGAAGTGGGGCGAAGTGGGGGCAGCGTTCATTTACGCCCTCTCACCTGCAACATAGCTGTCCTCCGTGCCTGGGCCGAGCCCGTTGGGTCATCGTCTCCAGGTACCCTGCCAGAGTCATCATCAACCGTAGTACAGTTGTTCACTGATAGAGAGCTTCTCCCACACATTTTGGATACGGGGACGGTGCCTGACGGCTTTCGCAGACTGGGGCGCGTTGCTGCTGAGATCTGCAACGATCACGCCGCCAGACTCCATCGCCTGGTCCAGGAGGCACGGTCAGAGGTGTAAATTTGAAGGCCGGCGTGTGCAAGGGCAGCTTCAACCACCCCCCCACCAGGAGGTACGCGGCAGTGTCGGACTCTACAGCCCCCTCACCTGAGCTGAAGCTAGGCCCCAGTCAGTCAGATTGAAAGGCACAGAACAAAACGTCGTCCTGTCCACTCTCAAACACTTCCGCCGTGCTTTCTCGAGCAGAGATAAGCAGTGCCCAATGGCCCAAGCGCGGGAAAGAGGCCGTCCAAGCACACCACCAATGTCATCCCCGAGCAGAATACATCTCCGCGGCCTTGTCTGAAGCGCAGGAAAGGCAAAGGATGTAGTGTGTGTACTTGGAGGTTCAGGGGTAGTTAGAAGTGGGATCATAAGTAGGCAACTCTCAGTATAACTGATCATAAACTTATTGAGGGTACTTCTAACCCTGCTTATCATTACTATAATCGAACTAGCCCTGAACCTCCAAGTAAGATGTGTAAGTGAATGACACGTTTAAAGCACATAGTCCTCTGCTTGACGTCAGCATCGAGCTACTTGAAGACAAAGCTACAGCGGCTTTGACATGATGCGTTGAAAACTCCGACACGTCTGACCGGGACCGTGGCGGTAGGCCCCGCAAGGAACCACGCTTGCGACGCAGCCTGCAGCCTGTCGAAAGACCAACGCCATGAGCTGGCAAAGCTGCCCGGCCGATTCCTGACAGCTTTGTGGAATTCCCTGGCGTGCGAGGCCTCGGCGGCGCGCAGGACGGCGCAGTGCACGCGCTCCACCTCCGAGCGGGAGATGGGCACCTTGCGGGCCGAGAAAAGCTCAAAGTAACCCTAAACCCTAAACCAAACCCTAAACCCTAAACCCTAAACCCTAAGCCCTAAGCCCTAAACCCTAAACCCTAAACCCCTACCAACATGTCCAGAGGCTCAGCCAAGATTCGGCAAGTGTCCCCAAGCCCTACTGAGGCCACATCCCGGCCTGAAAGTCGTCCACGAAGCGCAGCCCCAAGCGTTGGGCCTGAGGCACACCATCACACACCCACCATAGGGGATAGGAGTACGGGACCCATGGGGATATAGACCCTCTGAATAAGGTCCCTGTTCAAGAGAGCCACAACAGGGTGAAGAAGGGTTCCCTTCTAAGGGCCCCCCTCATCCTACCCTGGACCACTGATGATGAACTGGTTGCTTGGCCAAAACGCCGGGAGGCACCCAAAACAGACAGGAAATAGGTCTCGGAGGGGCCGATACCCAAAGTTGCCCATCAGGTCTCAGATCATCCGAGAAAGCCCTCCAGAAAGGCCTAAACCCACATAGTTAGAAGCCTACTTGCTTAGTATGGATTCCCTTGGACGAGCGGGCCGAGGTCCTGAGGTTTGGGGTGGGACCGTGCAACGCTCTAACCAACTAGGCCTTCAGCCAGACAACCCGAAAGCTTCTCGAACATCAGATTCCGAAACCTTGGAAACTGCTGACTGCAGCGTAGACCATCTCAGATCATGCGAGAAAGCCCTCCCCAAAAGGCCTAGACCCCCATAGTAAGCAGATGTAAGCAGCCTTTTTCAGAATGGGTTCCCTTGGACAAGCGGGCTGAGGTAAAGTCGTCCCAAGCCTTCGTCAGTCCTGTGGCAGGGCCGCCAGCGTTTCCAGGAAGCGAATCCACACGCTGGCGGACATCCGCAATCGAGCGCACGCCGCATCTGGGCAAATGCGGACATGCTCTTATTACCCCGGATGTCCCAACATATGCTCAGCTATGATATACACAGCAAGCACTGGTTCTTGCCCCCGCTGCATCCCACAAAGCCTCAGCCACGTCTGCGCCAGCGCAGGGCCCACGCCGTGTATCCTGCTTTTGGCGCTGAGAACATGAGACTCCGAGGTCGGATGAGTTGCAAGGGACCCCCTTGAGACAAGCCTTGAGAAAACATGCCATGCGCCATGGCTTCGAGGACCTTCGAGGTGTCTCACAGAATGCCGCTGCCTGGTCATCTCGAGCAGAGCATGGACATCGGCATCCTGGCGCGGATGAATCGGAGCCCACGAGCCGAACTGAGCCATTCTTGACTCGCTCTTGACGGTCCTTGCGGAAGCCATCGGCTTGCTGGAGGCAACCCTTCTCCTGGATCTCCTGAGCTCTCTTGGGGGGCTCTCTTTGGGAGCTCTCTTGGGGAGCTCGGATGGGGAGGTGGGGGGGCTGGCATTCCTTCTGTGACCTGCTACATCCTGAGCTGCTGCGACGTGCTGTCAAGTGTGAAAAGCCCCAGCTAGTGCCTGGCATTTCTGCACGAACTTCGGAGTCAGACCAGAATTTCGCAGTTCCTTCAAGCAGCAACTCTGACATGCGAAAGCAACGTGCTGACATGGAAGAACTCCTCGCGCTGCAACGCGCCACGCAGCTGGGCAACCAGCTGCTCGGCCTGATCGGCTTTAAGATCAGATCGAGGTAGACATGGCTGGTTGTCAAAATTTTGGCCCCTTTTTGGGATCCCTATTATATCCCTATTATAATACGGCACCGAATATTTAGGGTACCCCAAGATAAGGGATCATAATTTTGACAACCACCCACATGGTTCAGAGGTGGCGTCCCATGAAAAAGCCGTAGAAGCTGGCAGAACCTGCTCAAAGCTCAAGATACTTCTATACTCCCCTTAGAACCTTAATAAGAATAATATGTTTAATATCCTCTTGGGTTTTATATAAACAAAAATACAAAACAAAATTCCCATGGGGGATATAGACTTTCCGGCCTTCTTGTACTGCCAGGAACGCCACTTGTCGCCACGCACCGCCCAGGCTGCAGCACAGGTGCGGAACCTCTTGTCAAAGAAACTGCACCCAGACCACGGCGGCCACGCCTTAAACCCTAAACCCTAAACCCTAACCCCTAAACGCAAGCTGCCTCTGGAATCACTCTGGTCTGCCTGGCGACCTCCAACCTGAGGCCGGCGCTCTTCCACGATCTTTGCGCGGAGATCATCCGGAGATGCGAACACACCCCACCTTGCTAGTCTGGCTTGAGGATTAAGCGAGACAGCCGGCACTGCCTGGCAACTCTAGGAAGGCTCAGGGCGCGGACCCCGGCTCGCCAACGCATTCGGCCAAGGTGTCGAGCTTGTTCGACACCTTGACAAAGCCATCGACCAGCTGTTCCGGGGCGAGAACGTTCAGTACGCGTTTCACCTTGTGCCCCAACGTGGCCTGTTGAGGCTCCTTCTTGATGGACAGCTGCGTCGAAGCTCCTTGACCAAACTCAGGCACAAGTAAGACGTACACCGTTGGTTCAAAACGTAAAGAGCCGAATAAAGAGCAACCTGCATATTGCATGGAGTCCTTCTTTCCTTTGCGGCGGTTCGGTGCCATCGCCCTGGCGCGAACCCAAACTGGAATCTCAACCCTAAACCCCTAAACCCTATACCCTAACCCCTAAACCCTAAACCCCCTGAACCCTGAACCCTACACTGCCTTGCCTCGGCCACGGGGCACCAAGCATAGCGCACCTCCAGAGGAACAGAGATCTGCGGAGCGTTGCGGGGGATTAATTCAAAAAAACGCCAACGCTGTCGCGATGCAACAATTGTAGTATCTACTAGTATTAGTACTAGTACTGATATTGATACTCATATTAAGAAGCATTGAGTTCGCTATGTTTCAACCCTAAACCCTAAAACCCTAAAACCCTAAACCCCAAACCCCAAACCCTAACTTGAATCCGCCTCCGGCAGGCGGCGCCCCAGCGCCAGGGACTCGCAGACCCAGGCGTCGGTGACCACCGCCTCGGAGCGATGCGGGGCTGCACTTGTGGTAGTTATTAATAATAATAAATAAGAAACATAAATATGATAGTAATGATGATGATGATGATGATAATGATAGTGATAGTGATAATGATAATAATAAGAGTAGAGCACTTGTACGAATAGAAGAAGTTGGACAGTTGGAATCGTCAGAATTTATGACTTACTGCAACTGTTATAGTTCTGTATACTTAGTATGTTCTAATACAATAATACTAGTAGAGAAAGACCCAACCAGAGTTGGAAAAGCTTCCTGGTGCACGGTCAAGCAGCTTTGAAGCCAGAGCCATTCTTGGCCTCGGTGCGACATCAGCTGTCGCAGAAGAAATTTTGCCGTGATCCCGCTCTCTTGCGCGTGACTGGTGCACAAAATGCCAAGCGTCGTCTGGGTAGTCTCGCATCAGCATGGCCCTGCAGCGCAACGGCTTTAGGGTTTAAGGTTTGGGGTTTAGGGGTTTAGGTTTTAGGGTTTGGGGTTTAGGGGAACCATCGGACAATCAGTCATACCGGCAATGTGAAGCAATCCGGACCTTGGCAATTGACCTGCCACTACGACGTGAGTCACCGTCTCATCCCAGGACTCACGAAGGTTGCCTGCATGATGCAGGCAGTTAGGTCGGTGCAACGGGTGGTGCCAACTGAAATGTGTGATCTTCACATACAGTCGATGCACAGCTCCTTCCAAAAAAAACTGCACTGGCAAAGCGAAGCTCCCAAAAGCCCAGGACAGCGTCGCCCAGGAGAAACCAGAGAAGACCAGCGCATTCAATTCCCGCACACATGTCATTGTGCCCCTGCAGCGAGCCTCCAGCTTCGCAGATTCGATCCTGCAGCATGAAGCCCTAACCGAACCCTACGACCCTGGGATGCCAGAGAGAGGATCTGCAGGGCCTGCAGAAGCTGCCTCCGCGTAGAAGACATGGCCCCTCCTCAAGAGCCAACGAGCCAGTTCTGAGCAGCTCTTGGGCCCTCTTCGGATCCCTAAACCCTAAACCCTAAACCCTAAACCCTAAACCCTAAACCCTAAACCCTAAACCCTAAACCCTAAACCCTAAACGGCCCTAAACCCTAAACCCTAAGCCCTCCTTTTCCTTTGCCCTTCACGTCCTCGGCTACAGAGCAGTAGAGCACAGCCGTCGAAGATCTGCTTGCAGTCCTTGGCTGCTGCCTGGCACACCTGGCACGTTCTTGAAAGGGAAGCCTTTGACTGACAATGAGGGAAGTAGGGCCCTACGTATACCCTTTAAGGGAGAATGTGTAGGGCCCTGTGTATACCCTTTAAGGGATTCTATCGGGTACCTCATTCCCCCATTCCCTACCAGAGTCAGCCAGACAAGGACCGGAGCAGGTGGCAAAGACCCTTGTGCCTCCTTTTGGTTGCCGACGTTGCCGGAAAGCTGCGGCTTGGCCAGAACTCCCTGCACCTTCAGGTCAGGGTTTAGGGTTTAGGGTTTAGGGTTTAGGGTTTAGGGTTTAGGGTTTAGGGTTTAGGGTTTAGGGTTTAGGGTTTAGGGTTTAGGGTTTAGTTTTAGGGTTTAGGGTTTAGGGTTTAGGGTTTAGGGTTTAGGGTTTAGGGTTTAGGGTTTAGGGTTTAGGGTTTAGGGTTTAGGGTTTAGGGTTTAGGGTTTAGGGTTTAGGGTTTAGGGTTTAGGGTTTAGGGTTTAGGGTTAGGTTAGGGTTTAGGGTTTAGGGTTTAGGGTTTAGGGTTTAGGGTTTAGGGTTTAGGGTTTAGGGTTTAGGGTTTAGGGTTTAGGGTTTAGGGTTTAGGGTTTAGGGTTTAGGGTTTACGGGTTAGGGCTTAGGGTTTAGAGTTTAGGGCTTAGGGTCTAGGGGTTTGAAGACGCTGGAGACTCAGCGTAAGGGTCTGCTCTTCTGCAACCACGATGATCCTTACACATACATTCTTGCTACCGAACGCGTGGTGCACGCGTGCAGTGTGGTCGGAGTTGTGTGGGACGAGGGCCTGCCTCGTCCGTCTTGCTGCGTTTCTGGGGAGCACAGGCCCCCGAAGGCTCTGCTGCCTGTCGTTTGCTTGGACGCAGAGCCTCACAAAACAGAGCTTGAGATCGAACCTTACCCTCACAAAACAATATAATAATATAATAACACAATAAATAGCAATGTAAAAATGTAATAGTATAATGATATAATCATACAGTAATTTAACAATATACTATAATAGTAGAATGAACTTGATATAATAACTCAATACTGGCTTGCTGGTCCTGAAAGCCCGGCTTGCTCATCGCTCGAGGAGGCTCTTCTCCATGGAGAGGCTCCTCTGGATCCCCAGAGATCACAAGATGTGCGGCCATGCCCACAACACACTGGGAGCAACAGCAAAACCAGCATGTCCTGCGCACTTGATGCCTGCAACCCATGCCCGGAGTAGACCCAAGAAGTGAAGCTGTCGAGCTCCATGGCGCCCGCATTCCTTGCTTGGCAAGATTCCAGCCAAACCAAACAAGCCCCTAAACCCTAAATCCTAAACCCTAAACCCTAAACCCACCAAGCCATCCAAGCCAAAGTTCTTCTCGGCACGTGCAAACAGCGCGGACAGGAGTGATGCTCGGGCTTCGTGGCCCAGCGAGCGCAGAAACTGGGACAGATCCGCCTGCAGGCTTGCCAAAGGCTTAGGGTTTAGGGTTTAGGGTTTAGGGCTTAGGGCTTAGGGCTTAGGGTTTAGGGTTTAGGGTTTAGGGTTTAGGGTTTGGGGTTTGGGGTTTAGGGTTTAGGGTTTAGGATGCCGACAGCGTCAGGTTTCCCCTTTGGGGGGTTTGTGATATTGGGGCTTAAGGGGGTACCCTATAGGGGTCCTTAGAAAAAAGGGGATCCTACTCTTTGAAATCTATTTTTAGGAGCCCCTTTTTCTCGCCCTAGACCCTAAACCCTAAACCCTAAACCCTAAACCCTCAACCCTAAACCCTAAACCCTAAACCCCCCAAATTTTCCCTCCTGACAACTTGCACGCGGCTCCAGCCTGGGAGATGCCCCGGCGGCCCTGGGCGCACTGGGCGAACACCTGCGTCACGTAACGGGCTGAGACACTCAGAATAGGGTTTAGGGTTTAGGGTTTAGGGTTCAGGGTTTAGGGTTTAGGGCTTAGGGCTTAGGGTTCAGGGTTTAGGGTGCCAACAACATCACGTTTCCCATTTCGGGGGTTTACGATATTGGGTCTTAGGGGTACCTTATAGGGGGCCTTACTATAAGGGGATCCTATTACTACTACGACGATGTAAAAAGAGATACTGAAAGAAGAGTAAAATAGCAAAACTGTAGCAATATATAATGGTGATAGAATATATTCATACTAAGAGTAAAATAACAAAACAAGGAATGTAAGAACTAAGATGGTGTGAAAAGCAGGAGCTTGGTCATGCTTGTGCTTGTGGTCGACCGTCACTCCTCCCCACAGTGCCCACCCACCCCCAATCGCGAGTTAAATCTTAGGGCTTTAGGGTTGAGGGCTTCGGGTTTAGGGTTTAGGGTTGAGGGTTGAGGGTTTAGGGTTTAGGGTTTAGGGTTTTAGGTTTTAAGGTTTAGGGGTTGTCACCTTACCGACTCCAACCACCGCCTCTTCGCAGCGCCGTTTTGCGTCTCGTGGTCCAAGGCCTGTGCCAATCGCCTCGCGGCACCACGAGGTCATTTATTATTGTATTGGTATACTACTGTATTATTTTATTTGTGTACTACTATATTATCATATTAGTATACTACTATATTATTCTATTCGTATACTAGTTTATGGAGACGGCGCCTCGAAGAGGCCGTGCGAGTAACCACAATTTCTGGGGCTCGGGGTGGGGTGGGGGTTGGGGGGGGGGGGGGGGGGGGGGGGGGGGGGTAATCACGTGACTTGGGACTTCACACCTGCAACTCCAAAGCCTGAACCCCACTAATCCCCAAAGGCCTAAACCCTTGCTGTTTACTTCGGGGTTTATAAGCAAAACGCGCCCGCGCCTAGGCGAGAGCTCAATTTCAAGCAAAAAATGTGTCCGAAACTTGAAAACGACACCCCCTACAAAAAACACAACAAACAAAAAATCCTTAAACCCAAAAGAATAGTCCAAGCAGTGCAAACCCAAATCCTGAAACCTGAACCCTAAACTTTGAACCTTGAACCCTGAAGAAGAATCAACTTGAGGCCACTTTCAGGATCCAGTGCGCAAGTCTGTTGGGTTACAACCAAAGCACAATTCCAGAAAATCATGCCTGCGCTGTGGCGAGAGCACTATTTCGAACCTGAACTGCCGGAGCCATAACGCAGAAAAAACTTCCCGAACCGAAAATCGCTATTTGAAAGTTCAACATGGGGAATGAGGAAAACGTGCCCGCGCCTAGGCGAGAGCGCAATTTCGAGCAAAAAACGCGTCCAAAACTTCAAAAAAAAAGACCCCCTGGGAAAAAAAACAACAAAAAAACGATCAGGCTTCGAGCGAAAATGCATTTTTCCGAAAAAAAACCTAACCCTTCAGTGTTTTCGAGCCCTGCAAATGCTGCGGTCATGACGAAAATGTGTGTTTCGCTTGGGTTTTTAGCCCCCGACGCGAAAAATGTAAACAAAAAATGTGTTCACTCACACGGCCTCTTACGGGCGCCGCCACCTAGTTTATGATTATGTTGTTATATGATTATAATAAACATGTTATTATATGATCTATGCCAAGGATGTCAGCATTGTTAATATTGTCAGTTATAGAAACATATAGCGATGTAATGCTGCAATAAAATAGTAACAGAATAAGTAATATACTTACGTAGTAACAATTGCATAAGACTATTAATACAAGAATATGTAGCTATCGGACAGCACAACAAGGAAAAACAACACACCCATATAATAATACAATGTATGAACATGATAATTTATTTAATAAAATTTTATAAATTATAAGAATATCACTACTATTATAACATGATAACTTAATAATATGGTAATACATAACAGAATACTATAAACATATACGAATATAATATATAATACTACAGAAATATGACAATCAAATAATAAAGCAATGTACTCAGATACTCAGGTTGTGAGATACTGATATAATAATAGTAATGAAATACCAGAATCGCATATTAACATGACAATACATCAATAAAGTTTGCTATTCACCAGAGCGGAACTGTGCACCAGTCGGGCAAAGATTGCCTGGCGCAGAACGGCTCGTGGGTCCGTGCGGCGTGCTGAGCCACTGCCGAATTTGCGCAAGACCTCGAACCAAAGCCACGAAACGCAGGATTCAAGAGGATTGGCTGAAGTACCAGGACGAAGCGCTTCGGTCAAATACTTGCTTCCGCCAGGCAGGACTTGCAAAAGAGTTAGCTCCAAGATGTTTCCAGAAGACAAGGCTGATAAGAGAGGTTCTGCCGCCTGCTTGGGAAACAGATATTGCAGGGGGCGTTCCAACGGTTCTTCCCACCCGGTGCGGGGGCGGTACTTGGAGGGCAGTTATAGGTGGGGATACAAGTAGGGTAAGGAGAATAATAACTGGTTATAACCTTTTCTAGGGTACTTATAACCCTACTTATAACTACCCATGAACCTCCAAGTACTGATGGGGTGCTACACGGGTTGGAGATCAAAGGGCTGTGCAAAGTAGCGAAACAAGTTGCGGGACTTCAGATTTCATGGCTTCTATGCAGGCCGGGACGCTTAATACAGGGACTTAGGAGTATTCTGGGGCTACACCATGTCGAAAGTGCCGCATGACATGACTAAAACCTGGTCAACTACTCCAGCCGTCAGCCGACAAAATCGTGTCCAAGCTGGCTTTCATGGACAAGAAGACGGCCAGGCTGCAGGAAGCGTGGTTTTCGGAGTTTCTGTTGGCCCTGACAACTTTTGCGTTGCCTGCAACAAAAAGTTGGCCGGGCCAGCCGTCAAAGCCGGGCCAGCCGTCAAACACATCTCTTTCAATACGAATATGTATATACACATGTGTTTACACATGTATTTACATATCTATTTATCTTACTTGTTTATATGATGACGATGATGATGATGATGATGAGGATGATGATGATGATGATGACGATGATGACGATGAAGATGATGATGATGATGATGATGATGATGATGATGATGATGACGAAGCCCGCCTGGCCCACAGGCATTCCCCAAGCAGACTGACCCACAGAGCCTGCAAAGCATGGCAGGGCCACCAACTTTTTATCAACCAACGAAAGAAGCTGTATGTGGTCACTTCGCGAAACTGCGGTGTCTTTTGGATTACTATGAGAAGGCGGCCCCCAAGATTTTCAGGGTATGGGACCCTACTTCGGAGAAGCCTAAACCCCAAAGCCTAAACCCTAAACACTAAGAAACACGGGGCAAGAACCGATGGAATAAAGTCCGACCTTGTGAGCCTGGCGCCCTGGCACCTCCTGCAGAGAGGACAGGAGTTTGGGGTCAGTTCAGGGTTTAGGGTTAGGGTTCAGAGTTCAGGGTTCAGGGCTCAGGGCCTAGCATTTCTGGCTTATGGGTTGGCGTTAGGGTTTAGGGTTTTTACACCTCAAGCTGGGCCTCCCTGCACTCTTGTTGGGCTTTGCGTGGCCAATCCCATAGGGCGCGTCAAGATTCAGGATCCGCACAAGGGGCTACCCTTTGTTGTTTTGAAAGGGGTTTAGGGTTTAGGGTTTAGGGTTTAGGGTTTAGGGTTTAGGGTTTAGGGTTTAGGGTTGAGGGTTGAGGGTTTAGGGTTTAGGGTTTAGGGTTTAGGGTTTAGGGTTTAGGGTTTAGGGGCTTACAACGGAGCCTAAACCCTAACAAAGGGAATAAGGGCCTACGTCTTGCCGTCTTCTGTTTGGAAGGTCCTTGCTCGCTGGCCGAGCATTGTTGAAGCGCACATGGACGGCGCCGTCCGGTGCAATCGCCTGAAAAGGCGATGCAGGCAGAAATAGAGCTGAGAGCTTGTTCGAACTCCTTGACAGTCTACTGAATTATTATATTATTATCTGAATATATGACTATCTTTTCATATTGTTATACTATTTTGTTTTTTTTATGTTATTACTTCAGTGTGCTGTCCTGCACCTCGCCATCGTCGAACCACCTGTGCATCACACAGGAGTCGAAGCACCACAGGAATGCGCTGCACTCGCGGCAGGCATCTGATGTTTACGCTCTTCGATCGCGAATTCGTGCGATCGAAACATCGATCCACCTCTTGGCCGAAGAGCTCCACACATGCACACGGTCACCAGCAGCAAAGTCCACCGAAGCCTGGACTGCCACGCACGAACAAATTCAAAATTCTAAGTGATTGTCTGTGTGCAGCCTCTGAAGGAACTCCGAATCAACTCTGGCGCTTGAGGAACCGACTGTGCCGCTCGGGGTGCTGCACATATTCCACGCGCAGCACAAAGCCCAGCAACAGCTTGAGCCCCAGTCAGACAGTCGGAAAGATCGGAAAGAACCGAACAGAGGGAGCCGCGTAGTAAAAACTGCAGTACTCTCATCATGTGAAGCATTTCTGGTTATGTTGTTCGTCTGTGTGTAGCGGTGCAGAGAGAGCGCAGAAAGGGGAGAATCTGGCTTTAGCTAGATCCGACGGGTCGGAAGTCGGAGCGCAGGCCATACACATGCCAGCATGTCCTCTTGAGGAATCGCCTCCGGCAGATCGTGCAGGATGACGGTGTTCCGCTTGCTCTTCAAGATGGGCTTGATCTGCAT